GAATGGGTTGCTCTCTTGCATCACTTCGTACCTGTACGTCCTGGGCAAGTTAACTCTCCAGTTTCTTCAATAATTAAGATAAAACAAAAAGAAAAACCTTGCAGTGTGATTATGAGTTAACAATGTATATTTAAAAACAAACAACAACAACAACAACAAACCCTAGAAAGCTATGTATAATGCAAGTATTTGTAATCCCAGGTACTCATCCATCAACCAACCTCAAAAATCTCTAAGGCCATATTAAGACAGCCAGGTACTTGGTAGACTGAAACAGAAGGATCATGAATTCAAGACCAGCTGGGTAACCTTGTGAGACAGTCTCCAAAAACAACAAAAAACACCAAGCCAGAAAATACAAACTAAATGATACAGTAGCTCTACTAGACTACTATAATCACAAAAACCTTAATAGAACAGAATATTATACCATCGGGATGTGACCACAAAAAAATGCTGATTGAACGTTTTATTTTTTTTAAAGGCAAGTGAAAAGTCAACAAACACAACAGCTTGTTATTAGCTGATTCTATTTGCCCTCTACAGAATTCAACAGCAATCCCTTAATGATCGGAGTCTCTCTGGGCTCCTTCAATAAAGAACACTCTTAGTTTTCTAGTATCTGACTACATTTCCTCTATCGTTTTCTGTTAACTTGCCCTCTATCGACACCTAAAGGCCAATATTCCTTTGACTCCATTCTCAGATCTTTTCTCATTTCATCCACTTTAAGACTTCAATTAGTATCTCTATGGAGATGACCCCCTGACCTCTCTTGTCACAGTCAGAAACAATATTTCAAACTCAAAATAGACAAATCTTGTCACAGTTAATAAGACAACCAAGCATACAGCTTCAATTTCTCCTTTCATCCCCACCATTCTTCTCTTATACATCTTATCAGTCCTCAGGTTTCTCTTCCTTTCCCTGCTTCTTAAGGTACTCATTTGCCAGAGCAACCTCTTCAGTTCTTTCTGGGATAATGTACTCCATTTAAAATTTATTGAATGTTATGGATCTTATACCCAAAAGATGAATATATAAAACATACTTGTAATTTTACCTAACCAATGACCTCTAATAAGAATTTAAGATCAGGGCCGGGGATTTAGCTCAGTGGTTCCACTGCCTACCTCACAAGCTGAAGGACCCGAATTAGATCCCCGGTACCAAAAAAAAAATTTATGCTCCTCTGGGCCAGGGATGTAGTTCAATGACGCCATGCCTGCCTGGCAAGTGCAAGATCCTGAGTTCAATCCCTGGTACTGGAAAAACTAAAAAAATAAAGAAGAATTTATGTTCCTCTGCTCAAGATTTTAACTATCATTCCCTATATACAAAATTTCAGCTCCAGCTCTTTGCTTCCCTGATAAAAATGTGAAAATTCTTTTTATATAGCTCAAATGCTCATAGGCATCACAAAACAAAGTCCACACCAGAGCTCACTATTTCTCTCCTACAAACCTACTCTGACTACAGCTACTCTGTCCTCCCAGGTTCCCAAGGTTCAAGTCTTACAATGAAAATGTAGGTCCAGGTTGGGGATTTATCTCAGTGGTGCTGCTGCCTGCCTCACAAGTGCAAGGTCCTGAGTTCTATCCCTGGTACCAAACAAACAAAAAAAGAAAATGTAGGTCCATAATCAATCACCATGCCTTATCTCTTTTTATCTCAGAAATCTCTCTCAAATACAAATCCCACCTTTCTTGGTCTCTTTTTTTTATGCTACTGGGTATTGAACTCAGGACCTTGCACTTTCAAGACAGGTGTGGTGCCGATGAGCTAAATCCTAGGCCCATCTCTTTTGCTTCTACTCATACTTGCCAAGATTGAAAGTTTTCGTACTACTCTCCCACAAGAGCTCCTATGACTGTTTGTCTTTCAAGGTCCCTCATCTCCACTTGCTACCTTCTACTGCCACCAGATTACTACGCCTCTAGAATGGTTACCACAACCTGATTACCCCATTCCAGTTCTTTTTCCTATCTTATCACCAGTGTTGACTGACCCTCCCTTACAACTTCAAAACTGGCCATACATCCGCCCCTTTCAAAAATATTAAATGTTTCCTCACTGCACAAATACAGTACCGTCAAACTCAGTTTGCCGTTATAGTTCTCCAGTTTGTCACCTAAGTACTTTTCCAGGATTAGATTCCATAGTTCAAGCTGTCACTTGCTCCTACTATCTGCCCATCAGAATCACACCCACTCTTAAAGGCCCAACTCAAACCTCACTGTTCATCTGTAGTACAGGCTTCGCATAATGATTAGCAAAGGAACCAGAACAAAATAGAAACAATTTCTAATGAACTGATCCAGGAAATGGAAAAAAAAATGTTAAACAATAGCTGCAAATCCTTAAATCTTCCCGGAAACATTAAATTTCTTGAGACTGCTATTCAGATATTAACATCTCTGCCAAGAAGCCCTCCATAAACCCAAGACTTATTCATCAACACTGGCCAAATGCTAATAATGAGCAACGTCAGAGATTCAGTTAAGGGCAAGGATGTAGCTCGCGGCACTGTGTATGGTCCTGAATTCGATCCCAGTTACACCCGCCAAAAAAAGATTCAGTTAATTCTAGAATGCATTATTAACTTGAAAATAAAAGGCTCTAATCTGGACCCAAGATTCAGATTCAAACTGTATGTGTATTTTACTGAGGAAAGAAAAATCACAGTAAGAAAAGTTAGCATTTCAACTGAAGAGTTAGGTCAAGTAAGTATACAGCAGCAATAGAAATAGGTCCCAGATCTAAATCATCTTCAAACTAGTAAATAGCTTACCAGATAAGGAAAAAAATATTTCAACGGAAATATCCTAAAGCTGATATTTTAAAAGGGACAAAGGATGTCAAGGGCAATTGTGAGGCACAATTACTGGCACACTTATTAGCAGGTGCAAAAGCAATGAGATGTATGACAACAATATTGTTGTCAGCAGTATTTTCTCTCCATTACTTTCTAGGCTCTTACTTCTTTTAGGCCTGACAATTTCTGTTTTGCTTCCCAAGTCTGTGAATTCAAGTTAAATTTCATATCTGTAAACTGGGAAGCATTTTGCTTGTAAACAAGAATATTCATGAGTCAAAAGTCTTTTTAGGAAGAATATTAACTCCTCCTTCTATCTACTTAAGATACTTAGTGAAGCATGCCCTCCCTGGCATTTCTAAAATAGCGATCATTCAAATTTGCAAACATTTTAAAACTCTTGCTCATAACAGTAAAATATGTGAAAACTCTGAAATTATTAGTAACACTTTTGGGGGGGTACTGGGGATCGAACTCTGGTCCTTGAGCTCGCGAGGCAGGCGTCGGAACCAACGAGCTACCCCCCCCCCCGTAACACTATTTAAGGAAAGCAGGGTGTAATGAAAAAAGCTGCAGCATTTGAAGTAGGAATTCAGCCTACAATCTTAAGTCTGACTCTAGTTTTGAGATCTGGGAATGGGCTTCACCTAGAAATACTTTCTAACTTGAAAGAGGAATATCACTATCTTTTCCTTCCTCAAGGCGGTAATCCGGATACAATGTAGGCAGAACAGTAACTGCCATGAGGCACTCAATAAATGTTTATTCACCCAACAAAAAAGACTTAAGATGTATGCCTAAGAGAATTTACTTCAACACAACACTCTTCATCAAGTAATACTACAGCTACCTCATTCTAATAAATGCAAAGCTGTCACTGTCATTCTACAAACGTTTCTGAGGGATCCCAATCATGTGAGAATGTTTGCATACGACTATGCAAGAATTCCAGTAAGATGCATGTACGTTGATCACTAAAACGATTGAAAAAGGTTCACGGTAGTTAGGTTAAAACATCTCTTACGCTGTTAAGAAAACTCACTTGGGGTAAGAGGGGGGCTCGAATTAGGCCGAACTCCAAACCTATCTTTCATAAGACAAGAGTGATAGCTGATTTATCCTCCGTGAAACGCAACAGTAAGATATTAAGCAAGATCCACTTTAAAAACTTCAAGGTTGAAATATTCCACAACCAACACTGGTACCACTAATGCTTTTTAGAAAGCCTGCACAGAAAAACACCATTAACAGCATTAGAAATATTTAAGGAGAGCTGTTCATGGTTAACAGCGGTGAGAGGAGAAAAGCATTATTTCGGTGTTCTGCACCACGGCCATCGTCATCATTCGTAATCATCTGATGGAATTCTTGGTTTTACACTCGGGTGTCAAACAGGCCATGATGTTAGCAAACTGAAGGAGGGAACGCTTCCATTCCCTTCCCTAGGGTCCAGGCCTGAAAGTCCGTTCTCGAAACCAAGTCCGGAGGTTCAAGGGTCCGGGCCTCCGCCCCAGCCCCTCCCAACGGTGATGGAGGGCCGGGCGGCCGGGAGGCGCCCTGAGTAACACCTAAAGCTCCACCCGTCTCAGGATACCGCCGAATACCCCAGCACACAGA